TCAATTTGTTCTGTTTCCTAAGAGAAACTAAATACCCGGGCCAAATGAAAACGTGCCCTTGTCCTTGGAGAACCTCAAGACCAGAAGATGAGCCCCCGAGGCACCCTGGTGCCACGCTGGGCTGCGACCCACAATCACCAGCAGCTCCACGGGAGAGAGACTGGGCTCTCTACTCCGGTAGCCAGTGAGTCTCGGAAACCCACAGGAGATCGCTGTGAGCCGGCACTGACTCTATGGCAGTGAATTGGTTTGGAAAGAACGGAAGGTTTAGGAGGACGGGCAAAGGACTGAGTAACTAGAGAAAGTGGCATCAGAGAGTGATGGTAAGAAACACCGTGACTGGAAGAAAGATTCTTATGAGGAAAAAACCCCAACAACCAGAATCCATCTATAAAAGGAACAGAGGAAACGTTCTAAGGAGCTTCTCTAACCACCCGGCCCAAGCCTTCGTTTAATCTGTAGTGACTCTGGCAGCCATGCACCTGAGGTGGCACACCATGATGGAGTCTGGGCACATATTTGAAGTGGGAGGTGAGAGAGGGGACGTGACCGGGACAGGGAGAGAGCTGGTAATGATTCATGTGGGACGCTACCTATCCCTGACGGGGTTCAGGTGTAGAAGTACTGAGGGACCTGAAGGATTCAATGGAAGTCAATCTCAGTTAAAAAGTTAATCAAGCATATTGTTCTATACGTCCTGGACTGGTAGAAGAAGCTGAAGACAGGGGGCCCTTGGAAAGAAGGGACAGCTGTGACCGGGTCTGGGAGCTTTCCTTAAACGGCTAGAGGATAAGAGATGCAAAAGAAGGGAGGCCTGCGTTCTAGTCTCTGCCCGTCACAGACTTGGTGGTCTCTCTGTCTCCCTCTCGTTGTAGACAAGACTCCATCAGGGTTACAGAGAATATTCCAGAAGCGGCTGATATCATTTCATTTTATCTTGCTCTCAAAAACAGGAAGCCAAGGTTCTTCTCCAATGTAACCAGCCAAGAAAACTTGTGAAAATAAAAGGCTGATGCGTACCCTTCGGTGGAAGGGATTTCAGCAATACCACATGAGTCAACAATGAAAAAGGAGCGAGGTTGCGCGTGAACCTTTAACACACCGTGCTCTGTGAAAGGCGCCCTTCGCGAAAGACCGCATACTGTATGACGCCATCCATCAGAAAGTCTGTAGCAGGGAAATCTACAGAAATGAAAAACCACATGAGTGGCGGCTCAGGACTGATGGGCAAGGGGAAAATAAAGAAGGGACAACTTAAAAGCAAGGAGTTTCTTTCTGAGATGATGAAAATGGGGTGACGGCTGCACACACACCTGACCCGCAGGAATGTGAGAAACCATTGAACAGCACCCTTTCACAGTGAATTGTGCGGTAAGGAAAGTACCTACCCTAAAGTGGTTGTGGAGGAGGAGGAGGAGACCACCACACAGAAGGGTGGCCCGGATGACTCCTGAGCATCTTGGTAAGAAGTGTCACTCTTGCCACTGTGACATGCTCCCATGGGTCCATGTACCTCTAGCCCTCAGGGGGCCCCAGGGACCTGAGAGGGCCAACTCCCCCATACCAGCACCTGAACTGGTGTCTCACCGCAGAGGATGCTGACAAGAGAGCCTGACATTCTAACCGCCCCAGATGTCTACAGAAGCCACTACACAACCCAAAATAGCCCCAAGTTTGCCCACTGAGCTAGCGACCATCTGAACAGGAGCACACGTCCTAACCCCCTCGGTCACGTGCACTGGATCATCGTGCAAGAGACCCTGGGCAAGGTGGTCGTCTTTGCCTCCTCTCCTCCAAAGTGCTCCTGATTTCTCCAGACTCAGTCAGAAGCACAGGGCCTATTCTCAGCCATGGAAGGAGGGGGACTCTACTGATTCATCCTCTGACCTCATCTACTTCACCCCACTCATTCACCTCCACCAGACACTCTGGCCAGCTCACTGTTCCCTGAAACCCACCCACCCAAATACCCAGGATCCTCTGCCTGGAACCCTCGTCCCTCACATATCTCCTTTCCTCTCCTTTTCACATCTCTCCTTAAATGTTGCAACACCAAAAGCCCTCGCTGACCACCTGACTTACCAACCTCCCTGACCCTGGTCTCCTGTTCTCCCACAGGATTTATCAGACCACGTACTCTCCTGGCTCTATGCCACCGATGGCTCCATGCAAACATGACTTTCTGCCGGTTTTATTGACCCAATGCTGGCATAGATCCTAGAGAAATCAGAGCCGTGACACAATAGATATCCGCACACCTAGGCTCATCGCAACACTAGTCAGAATAGCAAAATGATGAAAACAACCTAAGTGTCCATGAGTTGAGGAATACATCGATCAGTTTGGGTGCATCCACACCACAGAACATTGCCCGATGTTAATGAACAATGATGGGCCTGTGAAACACCTCATAACGTCCATGAACCTGTGGCAGGAGGGCACTGTGCTGAGTGAAATGAGTCCATCACAAAAGACAAATACTTCCTGAGACCACTCTTTTTAAAAGGCAAGAAAAGAGTTTTCAAAAAGAAAGAAACAGTTTTCACAGTATAAGAAGCATCCTTTGATGATGCCCATGGTTGGGAGAATAATGGAGGGAGGGGAAGTCGCTGGCTGGAAGGTAGATCCGTGCTGACTTCGGTGACAGGGAGGCAACACACAGAAGGGGGGCGGGTTTCAATAAAATATGATGGAAGCAGGGCAGGCCAAAGGCAGGTGTGCAAGAGTTCAAGGCCACAGAGGCAAGTACTATTGCAGGTTCTGTAACACAATCCCGCAATAGAGGAGATGGATCAACAGTAGATGCTTGGGTAGACACACAGGCTAAGCAGGTATGGGATGGACAGTGGGAGTATGCCCAAAAATCCATAGATATTTGACAGAGGGTCTTCGTCCCTGGATATTTACATATCCATGAGTGGGGTGGAGCACACAGGGGGCAAAGTTTTGAAAACTTCTTAGACATAACCAAACCCCTTCCACGGGAATCAGGACCACAGTCTGAGGGGACATCAACAGGCATAACATAATCCACAAAGATAATGGTCTACATTCCACTTTGGTGAGTAGCAACTGGGGTCTTCAAAGCTCATGAACAGCTAGATAAGGTGCAACTATTGGTCTCTCCCCGTCCCGAGGAAAGAAGAGTGGTGACCACAGAAAGACCGACAGAAACATTTAGCCCAGTGGAGAGTGAACCAGGCCGACATTAATCTCAACCCTGACACCAGGAGAACTAGATGGTGCCTGGCTTCTTATCAGCAATTGCTCAGAAAAGGCCCACATTAGACGGTCCTACAAAAAGTAGGAAACTAATACAAACAAAATCCAAGATCATACAAGGGACCAAGCTTGCTGATTGAATAGAGACAGGTGGAACCCCTAAGAATATGGCCCTTACTCACCTCATTAGCATAACCAACTATTTGAGATCAAAAGGACAGCATTTATCCAAGGACAAGGTACCGAGGATGAGGCCAGGGAACACCCAGAGGAAGGGGGTAAGTGATGGTCCACTGAGGGGGTTGCCACGGATGAGTGAAAACTAACTGTGTGTGGACTATAATGTAAAACTAGTGATCTGCATGAAAATAATAATAATTTATCAAGGAGTCATGAGAGTAAGAGGTTGGGGGAGGGACGGGGGAAAAAAGAGGAGCTGATACCAAGGGCTCAAGTAGAAAGAAAATGTTTTGAAAAGGATGATGGCAACATATGTACCAATGTGCTTGATACAATGGATGCATGGATTGCTATAAGAGCTCTACAAGCCCCCATTAAATGATTTATTTTTAAAAAACTAGCAATCTGCTCTTTACACCTTCACCTAATGCACCATAAAAGGTTTATTTTAAGTTTTAAAAACAGAAGCTCCCTTTATAAACAAAGTAACTCTCTATAGAACTGCCCCGTAGGTTTCCCACGGCTGTAAGTCTTTATTTAGGGAGACAGGCTTTTGCATCTTTTGCCCATGGACTCAACTGCTGGGTTCAAATCGACAGCCTTTCATTAGCAGTCGAATGCTTTACCCATTGCACAAGTAGGCTCCTTAAGTACTCATTAACTCACTACCATCCAGTCAATTCCGACACAGGCACCTGACAGGTCAAAGTCGAACTGCTCCTGGGTCTCCGAGACTATAACTCTTTGCCGTTGGGGTTCGAACTGCTAACCTTGTGGTAGGCAGCCCCACGCCACCAGGGCTCCTGCTAAATGCTCATCAAGTGCCTCTAAATATCATTCTCCTGTGCTTGGCCCTGGACCCAGTGAATACGCGACTCGCCAACTGTATGTCCCCATGCCCAGGAAGCAATCCAAGACTAACCAGAAAATGTCCCTGGCACCATTCCATCCGTCCATTTCCCAGCGGCTTCCAACGTTGCCCATTCCCCTCCAGCTCAAGTTCACTGCCATCGAGTAGATTCCGACTCTAGCAACCCTGTAGGGTAGGGTAGAACTGCTCCCTGTGTGTCTCTTTACAGAACTAGAAAGCCCCGTCCCGTCTGTCTTTCTTGGGTGGTTTCGAACTGCTGACCTTGACGGTTAGCAGCCCAATTTGGAGCCACTGCCCCACCAGGGGTACCCTAGAGTTGTGCAGAGAGCCCCGGGAAGCGCGCTCCTGGGTTTCCTAGCAAAGTGGCCGGTCAGAGACTCGGGCTGGGATGGGCAGGGGAGCGTGGGAAGGCCAGTTTGCGCGCCCCTGGTTGGTCTGGGGGTGCCCCTCGAAGCCTTTCCGCCAGATCCTCGTCCCGCCGCCTCCGGTGAGCGCAGCGCTGGAGGATCGAGGGGAGCCGCCTACCCACGCTCGGCCTGGGGGAGAAGGAGGACTGGGAGGGCGGGGGCCAGGAAGGGCCCGGCCCAGGGGGAAGAGTCGCGCCACCAGCCGGGAGCGGGGAAGGGAGAGGCGCCAAGTGCTCTCAGCGCCCAGAACGGGGGCGCAGAGCCCAAGGGAGGAACGCCACCGGGAGCGGGGCGCGGGGGCGCGCGGGCGGAGCACCCACCTGAGGCCGCCATGCCGCGCGGGCGCAGCTCACATCCCCGGCTCGCGGCGTGCCCAGTGCGGGGCCGGCGGCGTCCGTCCGTCCGTGGGCCCGGCTCCGCGCTGCACCAGCCGCCGCTCTGGCGCTTCCTCCCGCGGGGCCGCGGGCTCCGGCCGCGAGGGCGTGTCCTCGGGGCCCGCCCCGCCTGCGGGGCTCTCGGCCGCGGCACCTGCACGCGCAGCCGTTGGGGAGGGGAAGTGAGAGCCCCACGCGGGCCCCTCTCCCCGCACGGGCCCGGCCCCGCCGCCTCGCCGGGGCGGAGCGCGGGCTGCGCGCCACGTGCGCCCCACTCCTAGGGAAGCCCCGGCGACCCCCGCCGCCGCCGAGGGGGCAGCCCGAGGAGGAGGGCATTGGGAGAGGGGGTGGCAAAGGTTGAACTGCCCAGCCTTTGTGACTTGCCGGGGGTGGGAGTAGGGGTGTGTGTCGAAGCACCAGCTGGCCAGGCCACCTCTTTGCCCCCTAGGGCTTTGTTCCTGGCTGCTGCCCCAGCAGGAAAGGGGAGGGGGCAGGAAGGGGAAGAGGAGTAAGGCTGGCCAGCTGGTGTTCATAGGGAGTGGGGGAGGGGGGGCTGGCTGATACCATTGAGTCCCCTCCAGTGACTTTTCTGCTACTCCTTGGACTTGGTCTCTTGCGTGCACGTGGACGTTAATTAGAAGCTAAGCCGTTTTATTGGCACATAATCCACATATCACACAATCCACCAGTTCAATCATATCAAGAAGACTTGTACAGTCATTAGATAATATAATTCTTATTCCATTTGTTGTGCCATTCCTGGCCTGCCCGGTCTTAAAGACCTTACACGCATTGTTGCATCGCACCTCATAGTAACGCTTTCAAGTGCGATCTAACCCGCCTTCATGTTAGAGCAGAAGAAACAAAATGAATATCTTGTTTAGGCTTCCACAAAGGAAGTCTGAGGCTGAGGTTCGGTACCAGGCAGGAGTTGACACTAGGCTTGTCTGATTCTGGAGGTGAAGCTTTAGCATGTGCGATCACCTGGCCCTTCCTGACTGCCCCCTCCTATGCATCTGAATACTGTGAGCGCTTGGGGTCCTCAACCACCCTGAGGACCCCAAGATGGGCCCAGAGGGCAGAGGTATGGGAGACGTGTGGACACAAATGGCCTGGAAGTTAGAACGGAAAGACCAGAGATGAGGCCCTGTGTCAGTTCCCATTGTTGCTGAAGCAAATCACAGGCAACTCAGGGACTTAGACGGCACGTCTTGATTTTCTTCCAAGTTCTCACGAGACTGAGTAAAATTCAGGTATCAACAGAGCTGTCTTCCCTTCTGGAGACTAGGAAACAATTTGTTCCCATGGCTTTTTCAGCTTGTAGAGGCCACCCACCTTCCTTGGCTCCTAGTCCCTGTCCTCCATCCTCAAAGCCAACTACATGACATCTCCTCAACCCTGCTTCCTTTTGTTGCTGGATTTGCACCTTCGCTTTACTCCTTATTGATTTATCTATCTACCTATTGCCTCTGTTTTATTTTATTTCTGCAGAATGAAGGGCCTCTTCACTGCCCCTGTGCCTTGGCTCTTCTGGGTGGGTTCTCCAGCGATGAGCAGCCCAAGAAGGATGTATTGGCACATCATGGTGTAGAGAGCTTGGGTTGGCTGCTGACCTGTCATCTGGTTTACCGTGGCGTATAGGAGAGATGAGCATGCATCCAGGAAATAGACTTCCTCCAGCTTCAAGAAATACTTTCATCATTTCTCTGCCATGGAGACCAAAGTGTTCTTCTTGGTCATTACAACGTCAGTTGCCAGGACGAGAGATGGAGGTGGAGGAACATACCATACTGCCTGCCAGCTTCTATGAGTGTGGCCATGAATGCTTTACCCACACACAACATGTAACGATATAAAAATAACCGTCACGGCTAACATTTACATTCACGGGAGAGAAAGATGAGGCTTTCTACTCCTTGTAAAGAGGGCATTTCCGAAACCCACAGCAGCGGTTCTCGCCTGCCCTGTAGGGTCGCTGTGAGTCGGAATGGATGAGACGGAAGTGAGTTTGGCTTTGATTGTTACTCTTCTATGTGTTTTACAAATATGAATTGATCTTAGTTCTCTTCCCTGTGACGAAGGCAGTACAGTAGTAGGATAGCCATTGTATAGATACAGACGCTATGTTACCTTAGCCCCAGGGTAGACAGCTAGTCAATGGCAGAGCTGTTTTGAATCTACTGCTAAATTAAGTAGTAAGTGACTTACAGTAGGCCCTCCTGAGACCAAAGGGGTCCCAGCCATCACCACTGTGTTGGCCTTACCTCCCAATGTGGGTGTGTAATATCAACTGTGAGCTTCCCTGCTCTACAGGGGTACTTTACTGCCCTGAAACATGAGCACGGAGCAAAGGCCATCCTCTGGAGCTCCCCTCCCATCCCCTGCTTTCCTGCCCACCTCCCTGACTGTGTCTCATAAACTGTCAGCCTCTGGGAGGCTGATTGTGTCTCATTCCGCACAGCATCTCCAACTAACATGGGGTCCAGCACATAGTCCATGTCCACCAAGCACTGTTGCTGCTGTTATTGTTGCTAGGACCACCAAGCCAATGTTTGACTCATGGGGACTCCGTCTGGGTTTCCTTGGCTATATTCCTTATGGAAGAGATCACCAGGCCTTTCTCCCCCTGAAGCCACTAGATGGGTTAAAATGGTCAACCTTTTGGTTGGCAGCCAAGCACTTCACCATTGCTCCATTAGGGCTTCATCAAGAGGCACTGTCAGAAAATCCAAAACCACCACCACCACCACCACCCCCCACCACCCCCACCACCCCGCCATGGAGTCCATAGGGACACAGAGCAACCCTATAGAACAGAGAAGAACTGCCTCTGGGTTTCCCAGGCTGTAAACCTTTGTGGAAACAGAAAGCCTCATCTTTCGCCCCCAGAGTAGCTGGTGAGTTCAAACTATTGACCTTGCCGTTGGCAGCTCAACACATAACCCACTATGCCACTTAGGCCCCTTCAACAAGCATTGTTTTTAAAGAATCAAGTCCAGCCTACTCCTTCTACAGATCAGGATCTTAACACGCAAACTACGTGACCTGCCCAAGATCTCAAAACTTTCCACGATGTCCCTTGCTCTACGCTTTCATCAAGAGATGGAGGACACTCTGGCATGTTCATGTGGATGAGGAGGAGGGTGTCCCTACTGGACTCTAAGGGGCATCCCCAGAAGAGCAGGCAGCATGGGACACCACAGGTCGAGGCAGGGAACAGAAGTTCCAGGCCACCAAATGCTGCTGAGTTTTGCCTGGGAAATACCCTGAATGTATAACTGCAGCTGCCTTTTCTGAGGGACCTTGGTGGCGCGGTGGTTACATGTTGGGCTGCTAACCACAAGGTTAGCAATTTGAACCCACCAGCTGCTCCATGGGAGAATGTCGAGGTCTTCTACTCCCATAAAGAGTTATAGTCTCGGAAGCAGCCTGGAGGCAGAGGGGAAAATGGGGAGCTAATGCCAGGGACTTAAGTGGAGAGCAAATGTTTTGAGAATGATGAGGGCAATGAATATACAAATG